GTTATTTAAGTTTAGGTTATTCATCGTTTGTAATTAATGTGTTCAAATATATTGAAGAAACTTGGCCCAAAGACACATATCCGTACAAGAAAGAAATCCGTACATCAGATTCAGAATAGTTTCTATTTAAACATGATAATGAAATAGACCCATAGGCTAGGCTCTTGTACGATTTAGGCATTTGTGCTTGTATGTGTGTGTGTGACAAATGAACGATTTTAAAGTGAATTTAGTTTAAATTAAAACACGAGAAATATTTGAAGTAATAGAAGGTTAAGTATCTCTGTGTCACGTGGTTTTGTTTGTTTACCTTTAGTTAATTACCTAAACAGATGGACTATAGATTCAGTCATCGGTCATCATCACCCAGTAATTCAACACACCGTCAACGATCTAATATAAAGTTGTGAGGGCGTTGTTTTTGTTTGAATTGTGATCATCATGTTATAAACAATGGCGGCTTTTGCCAACTCGTCTGGTATTCCGTTTGACATCTCATACACCTGCTCTTATATCACAGCTTGTAAGGAATCGATCTTAACAAAATAACTTTATAATATCTACAACAGTTTTAAAATATTATGGCAGGTTTTCATTAAAATCTTGTAACAATAAAATGGTTTAATGTTTGGAAGTATTTTACGTAATATTTCCGCAATAACTATCAAATAAATAATATCTTAAAATGAGCTATCTATAATGTAGTTTGCTCTCATAAAGTAAGTTCATCGATCGCTCTGTAATGCTGTGTGAATCACTTTAAATGAATTTTTCGGCCGCAAGAATTTGGTAGTTATTCTGAAATTTCCATTCAGAATTTAGGTTACATTCTGTTAAATAACATGGCAACGCTGCCAGTCTTCTGGGAATGTTCCCCAGTGACAGTGATGCTTACGAGTTCTTTGACGCCTAATCGAGGGTATTTTTTATTATGTTATGGTTCTTTATTATTCAGTTTTAGTTTACAGGTGTAGTTTACTTATTTATTTTTCTTGTTATTTAATTTTTTTATTATTATTTTGAAAGCAATAGGTTTCATTCTTGAATGACGATGTAAGAGTTAATAGAATAGAGAAGAATGCCAAGAACATCCGTGTGTTTAAGACGAGATTTTCAGTCAGTACTTTATCTTCTGAACATAGTATATTGATTTATACATATATTCGTGTCGCGGAGAACCTAACGGGTAACCGGGGCTCCGGCTCGACGTGCAGGAGAAGGAACGGGGTGGTTTTTAGTCAGTAAGAGTCTGACACT